TGTTCGTGTTGAATCATTTATTTGGGAGATCTAATGAGTCCATTCATTATCACCAAAATCTATTAAGATTAAACCACCCTAATTCTGAGTTAATTTTGTGACATGTTCATGAGTCACATTAAAATTGTTAACATTATAATACTTAATTAAAATTATCCAAATAAAGAAAATTGGATGCCACTAGCCTATAGAGATCGAGTGTGACCCAAAAAAAATGCAAATCAGTTGGAATTTTAGTTAAATATTTGTTTCATTTGGAATTATTAGATCTAAAAGTGACGACATATACGGTTAGGATCACTTTCTATTTTTGTTGGAGACTTTTTTTTTTGTTTTTGGATCAGATTTTGTTGGAGTGAGAACAAATATATATTTTTAATGTTTCATTTTAGCTCTATAGTCCCCAAATACGTAGAGCCGACACATGGACCCAGTCAACATGTAAGTCTACCAAATTTGGCAAATTACTGCTAAGTTTTGATTCAATTTTATCATATAATCACTCAATTACATAAATACATTCATGTATTCATATATAATTCGGATTGAATTATTATCGAATTGGATGTTGATAAATCTAAATCTGAATCTATAACATATGATATAACTCGGATTTGGATAATTGGTCTACAAAACAATTCATATCCGTTTCAACCATATTTCGGATGCAGATCAGATCGAATTTGAATGAGAATCAAGTCTATTGATGGGCCCAACTTCCCAGTTCACCATTTTTTGCTTGAAAAGTGCCAGTATTACATTAATGCGGCATAAACTACTTCTTGTTTTACTTTCCTATTATTACATGATTATGCAGATCTTCAGCAATGGTATGTACAATAGCATAGAGCACAGGTCTATGGTGAATGCAGTGAAAGAAAGGATCTCCATTGCCATGTTCTTCAACCCTAAATTTGAAGCAAATGTTGGACCAGCANACAGGTCTATGGTGAATGCAGTGAAACAAAGGATCTCCATTGCCATGTTCTTCAACCCTAAATTTGAAGCAAATGTTGGACCAGCAAACAGTCTTATAAACTCACAGAACCCTCCATTATTCAGAACTGTTACAATGGAGAACTACTTTAAAGACTTTTTCTCTCGTAAACTCGATGGGAAGTCATATCTGGCGCACATGAAGCTGAAAAATTCAGAAAGTTACACCATTTGACGTTCACTGTGGTGATGTTTAAAAAAAATTGGTATACTGTATTATGGTTTTGAGCTACGTACTTAAATCTATTTGATAACTTAATTTCACTGTTGTCAATAGATTATTAGTGGATTTTATTTAATGCTAGGAACCACTATCAATTGAAGGACAATAGTGGATTAGGTTAGAAAATTGGTTACCATGATATGATCAAAGTAATATCTTATAAATAGTGTGATTTGTACCATATTTCTTGTTGTAATTATATTGGTAGTGCCACCTCTTTGTATTGATTGTACCACCGGAAGACCCTCTTTAGTGTATAATAACCTGAAGAATAAAGGAGGGTATTATTATTCTGTATTTATAAATATTGTTGTGTATGATTGGCCAGTTTTATATAATGAATGCTTCTCTTTGGACTTATGTATGGTTAAGAAGGTCATGGATCGATCGCAAGTACTACATTATTCCAAGTTATATGTTAAGAGTTCAAGTCTTTGATGTATTTATGCATGTCTAAGACATGTAAATTGAATAAATTAAATCTAAAATAAATTAACAAGGGTAGATTGTAATCATCTGTTGTCGTCTACGCATTTTTTAGACTCATAGTTACAACATATACACATTCAATGTATGCAATCATCTGAAAAACATGCACATCAATATTACTTGAAATTTATGTAACTCAAAATCAAGACGTGTAAATTCATGACTTTAAATTTTATTCATCCACTAAAGTAACCGATGAAGGTTAGCTATCACATGTTACTATCGATTTTGGTTGTTCTATTTGAACCAAATAGGGGACCTTCATTACGTTGAGTTGTAATTTTTTTTTTTTTTTTGACATAAAAAAAATGATGATTTTTTTTATTTGAATCTATATTTCATTCTAATTCAATAGAGGTTATAGAAAACCCAAAGCTTCCCCTTTTCAACGAAGTAAAAATTGGGGCTAAGTCCTACTTAAGGGACTTATAATGAGTTTAAGGTGTCAAGGAAACATATTAGGAGATAAGTCTGTTTTTAATCTTACTTATAAGTAGTTAAGTCCACTTATTTTTTAAAACTCCAAAATACCCTTCCTTAAAATTAACTTTATATTAGTTTTCTAACTTCGGAATTGTTATCCCTTAATTCATTATCAATTAAAATATGTCAATAAATTTTTTTACATAAATTTAAAATTCAAATTCAAAAAATAATTGATACTTCTCTCTCTCTCTCTCTCTCTCTATATATATATATATATATATATATAATTATATTGAGTATTAATATTTATAAAATAATAATAGTAACATGTTCAACAAAAATAGTAATATGAACAACAACATGCCTAACAAAAACAGTAACGTAATATATATATATATATTATATATTATTTTTTTGTGTTTAAATATTACTATTTTTTTTGTGTTTAAATGATACTTTTTTTGTATTTAAAAATTGGGGCTAAATCCTACTTAAGGGACTTATAATGAGTTTAAGGTGTCAAGGAAACATATTAGGAGATAAGTCTGTTTTTAATCTTACTTATAAGTAGTTAAGTCCACTTATTTTTTAAAACTCCAAAATACCCTTCCTTAAAATTAACTTTATATTAGTTTTCTAACTTCGGAATTGTTATCCCTTAATTCATTATCAATTAAAATATGTCAATAAATTTTTTTACATAAATTTAAAATTCAAATTCAAAAAATAATTGATACTTCTCTCTCTCTCTCTCTCTCTCTATATATATATATATATATATATATAATTATATTGAGTATTAATATTTATAAAATAATAATAGTAACATGTTCAACAAAAATAGTAATATGAACAACAACATGCCTAACAAAAACAGTAACGTAATATATATATATATATTATATATTATTTTTTTGTGTTTAAATATTACTATTTTTTTTGTGTTTAAATGATACTTTTTTTGTATTTAAAAATTGGGGCTAAATCCTACTTAAGGGACTTATAATGAGTTTAAGCTGTCAAGGAAACATATTAGGAGATAAGTCTGTTTTTAATCTTACTTATAAGTAGTTAAGTCCACTATTTTTTTAAAACTCCAAAATACCCTTCCTTAAAATTAACTTTATATTAGTTTTCTAGCTTCGGAATTGTTATCCCTTAATTCACTATCAATTAAAATATGTCAATAAATTTTTTTACATAAATTTGAAATTCAAATTCAAAAAATAATTGATACTTCTCTCTCTCTCTTTCTCTCTTTCTCTCTCTCTCTCTCTTTCTCTCTCCCTCTCTATATATATATATATTATGTTACTGTTTTTGTTAGACATGTTGTTGTTCATATTACTATTTTTGTTGAACATGTTACTATTATTATTTTATAAATATTAATACTCAATATAATTATTTTTTTGAATATTATTATTTTTTTGTGTTTAAATATTACTATTTTTTTTTGTGTTTAAATGATACTTTTTTTGTGTTTAAATATTACTATTTTTTTTAATGTTACTATATATATAATAAAATAAAATTGAGTTTAAATTTTAGAGACAAATAGAGGTTCAGATCGTTTTGAAACTAAACATAAACACATCCAACGAATAACGTAATCCTAACATAAAAGACGGTTCAGATCATTTCAAAAATTTTGATCTAACGGATTAGAGTGAGTACTGAATTTTATTTTTCCACCCAACAACATTTTCTGACTCATGTCTCTCTCTCATCCAAAATCTCTCAAATTTTCCCCAATCTAACTTCTGTCTTTCTCTCTCAATCTCTCACGCCTCTATCTCTGCCTTCCAAACTCATCACCAAAATCTCTCTTAGAATCTGTCTCAATCTCACTTCTGCCTCTCTCTCCCAATCTTAATCTCTGCCCTCTCTCAATCTCAATCACTACCCCTCTCTTTTCTGCAAACCGAAGCTACCAAAGACTAGCCACCAGATAACCATCGGAGTCACCACCGAGGTATTCTTTGTATCCCTTCCCCCCTTTCTCTCCGTCCCTCACCTCTCTGTTTTCCTCTCCCTCCCTTCCTCCCTCTTCCTGTTTCTTAGCCCCCACCCACCTCCACGACAACCACCTCACATCGAGCCCCCAAATTATTCTGTTGTGTTACTCAAGTACGTCTTTTCTCTCTCTCTCTCTCTCTCTCTCATGCACACACATCCAGCACCACTATCCAATCCTTTTGAGTTCACTATTGAATACTTGAATGTTATTAGGTGCTTGATTTATCTATTTATTTATGTTTGTGGAATTTGTTGGTTGTATTGCTACTAACTGTGTTTGATGATCTGGGTATGTTTAATGTCTTACCCAATTTGTTTAATTATTAGTGTTTTAATCATATTTTGTTTGATAATTAGGGTTTGTGTGGACAAGGCTTTTGTGTTTGTGTTTATGACTGTGGTGTATTGAATTTAATGATTTTTATATTCCAATTGGGTTTTATAGGTCTCTCTCTCGGACTGTTGTGTCTCTGCTGCTCATTTCTCTCTCTACTACTCATTCTGCGCGCATTGCATACCAAGTACCTCATAACTCTCTTCTTCTCTCCTTCTCCGTCTCTATCTCTCAGCTTCTCTCTTTGTTGACTACTGAACACACACAAGACATACACACACCATCAAATGTTTACTGTTCCATGTGTTTTTAGATCAATTTTCATGTTTTTTGGTTCTCTCTATTGCTAAGTTGAACTAAAGCCTTTGATCCCAACCAACTCTTCCACATTTTAAGTTGCTTGGTTTTGCCTCGTGTTTTGATAAATTTGAAGTTGAATTCTATTCCTTATATTAAGTAGATATGTTGAATAGAAATCAATTTTGATTCTAAACTTGGTTATGTAGATATGTCGAATACATAGTTTTCGATTCTAAACTTCATTTTGTTCTAAACTTGATTATGTAGATTTCGTTGTTGATTTTAACTACGCTTTTTATTGTTGTCTTCTTGTGTCACATTGTTGCACTACTCAAGTACACATGTCACGCCCCATTCCGGTCTGCCAGGGATGAGACACGACTAGATCTTTGATACACCTGTTTACACACACATATATATATATATATATATATATATATATATATAATCTAGATCAATAAAACACTAATTAATCTCACAGATGCAACAATATCACTCATCACCTTAGTCAATAAGTATGATGGTAAATCTGTCTCATAACCTGTACCAATTCTTTGTTTTCGAGGTTATAGACAGATACAACTCCCACACCCACATGGCATACATCACAAAGTATGACTGTTGAGTCTATTTACAAATATACACTATTAAAACTGCTATAATAATAATTTTTCACAAATATAATACATAATTCAGAAATTAGTCATACTGACACTCAACCTGAGTGATATCACACTATCGTTGTACAAGACTTAATCGACTGGATAGTGGACTGGTCTGTATCCTCCTCTACAGTACCTGAAAAGGAAGAGTTGTATGTGTGTGAGCTAAACCACGCGCTCAGTGAGTATACATGTTGTATATGAAATGGAAACGATAGTAATACACTGAAATAGGTAAATACTACGTAGATACACGTATCAAACAACAACATTAATCTCATTCCAAAGAATTCACAAGCCACATCACATTCATACTACCCCTCATTGAGTGATCGATTCCACATGGATCCGTGTCTCTCGAACCTCCCGGAAACACCATAGTGCTAGCACATTTCTGCACGCCGAGTGACCAGGCATCGACGCCCACAGTACAAAACATCATTCAATCAAATAAGCACGTAGCACATAATCTTGGAGAATTGTTATTAAATTCTATCATTTACTATCATAGTATAATAGCATTTCCAAAACATATAAAGGTATACACCCACCTCAAGTGTATAGAGCTACGATGAGCTGCCGGACCTACCAGTGAATTCCTTCGGTGTTTCCGTATCTGTTTCAATATCAACTGTCCCACTTGTTCCACCTAACACATTTATAATTAAAATATCAACATGTTTATCACATTGAAAAATTGATCATGCATTAATGCATGCAAG